TGCTTAAATAAATGAGATTACATCGACTCCTTGATGTAGTGTAAGATAATTTACACCTATTAAGGACCAGGAATTGTCAAAGTTTTTCAAATGTATTACACATAAAGGAGGGCACTTTACTTTTATGCCTTCTGTTTGGGCAGATTTCTGAATATTATCTGAATGTTATCTGTAAAGTAGCATAACAAACGTAGAATTTTAGTGGAACTAGAGTTACACATTTGCTACGAATTACTAGCATCTCACCCCTGGTCACCCAGAGAATGAGCTGGCACAGTGTTTGATTTTCATGGTCAGAAATTTTAAAATAAATACGTTATCTCATTGTCACAGCTGGAGAAGGAGAGGAGATTAGCTGCAGCCTCTCCCAGTGCTGAACATGGCGAACAGCTGGCTCCAGGGTTCGTCTACTTCATTCTCATGCAAGACCAGAGCAGACTGAATAGCTGCAAAACAGGGGCCTGAAAAAAACAAGGGCCACTTTTCTAGGTGTTGTATCCCTGTACCCTTCTCTCAAGTCACACCTGCCAAAACGAAGGACACAGTGGTTCCAACCATTAGCTGGCAAAAGGGCTGGCTGATGAGCCACAGCTCACGATGAGTGCCCAAAGAACAGGTTACAACTTTTCAAACACCAGCGCTTTTTCTGAGCATTAGTTTTGGAAGGGTTTAAGAATTTTACATTTGAGAAACTAAGGGACAGTTTCCCCTGTGCAAACACTAGCAACAAAAGGCCCTTTGGCTCAAGGTCAGTAAAAGTGGAAGTACTATTTCTACCACTTCACTGTCCCAGACACCTTGCAAAACAGGTGATCATAACACTGACAGTCCTAAATAAACTAATTGGTTTTAACCCTGCCCAACACTGATTCTAGTTATTGCCCCAAACAAAGAGCTATGTTGCTGTGCACCGTCACCCTGTTCTGCTCCACGGGAGAAGGAATTTCACAGCAGGAAGTCCAAATAAACACACGTATACTTCTTGGGTCAAAGTACCCTGAGATAACATTTTAAACTGTACCAACTGGTTAGCTCTGCTGCAGTCAAAGTATTCCCTGCAAAAATACTCTGGACATTAGAATCATCAAGCAAGTGTGTGCCTTCTGGGCTCTAGCTGTTCAGAAATACCCATAATATTCTGTCATTCCCTCTGCACAACTACCCCAGCCTTTCCTCGTCAAGCTGAGACTGTCTCCTGTGGGTGGCATCAGGGCCTCAGAGCTTCCTGGGCAGCTCTCTCCTCGCATAGACGGGCACAGCTCCCATGCGGAACGGACCAGACCTGAAGGGGTGTGGGTGACTCCGCACAAAATGGGTGCTTTGGCACTAATCAATCAAGCTGAGTCTAGAAGGGCACAATTGCAAGATCACCCCCAAAACATCAGTGAGAACACTGCACACTAAAAGCGGCGCAGCAAAATACCAGTCCCTCCTATTCCCAAGCCCTCTGTTAAACCAGGAGAATTTCAGGTCGCCAAAGCACAGGTGTCTGGTGCTATCTGAGATGTCCTCGGGCTCCAGCTGCCACCCGCGAAGGAAGTGCTCCCCAGTAAGTCCCATGTCATATTGCCAACCTCATGCAAGTATCTCAGATACTATCTGACATCTAAAGCACTGGTAGAGGTGACATTTGCTTCCCTACTATGCTCCTCATAGGTATTATTGTTCTATGTGTCTTCACTTTTTGAAAGCTTGGCAGATGACTGAAAAATGCCTTCCATGCTTTTTAGTCTCAAAGTGATTTTGTCCTGCAGAATTTCCAGGGAAACATTAGCATTCAATAAGCCTCTCTTGCTGCTGGCCAAGTGCTCTCTGCAGTCGCCGGCAGGGTGACCCTTCCTGAACACATCTGATCAGTGTCATATATCGGCTGTTCTGTGGTTGCTCTACCCAATTCTACCATCTTTATGCAGCTAATTAAAGCTATGAAAAATATGAAGCATGCAAAAATGGAAGCAGAAGGGCACAGAGCAAAGCAGACAATTGGCTCACGCCCTGCATCTTTTTTTCCTGCCTATCTACCATCAATATCCTACGCACCTTCCCCTCTGCTTGTGAAGACAGGCACTCTCCTGCGTGTTTCCATGCAGCTCAGAATCAGTTAGGCAAGCATGAATAGCAATGCAGCTGGCACTGTGCAAGAAGAGTACTCTTCCCCTCCCTCTGCCCTCCAGGTATCTCTGCTTGGAGAAGATGATACAAACGGTAGCTCTCCTCCTGGGCTAACCAGGCTTGCCAACAGGCAGTTGTGATGAGGGCAGTTTCCCTAGGGTATGAAGACATTTTGATCCCTTTGCTTTCCCTCCTGCCTCCTCTGCCTGCCTACGGCTGCCATCCCTGCCCGTGCGGCCACAGCCTGGACAGCAGATCAGCAGCGCGGGCGCTGGCAGGTGGAGGGGGCAAAACCAGTTTGCTACAGGGCTGGAAACAGGTTCTGTTGGCCCCACAATTAACTACCGAGTTTCTGCCTTTTGTAGGAGCAGTCAGGATCACACCTTTGATTCATCCCACAGGGCAGGAGCAGGAAAATTCTGTACTTGTGCTGCTCAGGGCAAACAAAAAGAAATACCAGCCCAGAAATGTCTGTCACCCACCACACCGAACATGACACGGCCAGCACCACTGAACAAGGAGAGACACCACTTTCACCAGGGCTCTTGATATCTATATAATTTAAGCCTTTTGTTACGGCTGCAGCACAGAATTAAACAAAAATGTGTTTTAAACCCTTGAAGACTTTTAACCTCTTTGGACTTAAAATTGAAAAAATTATCCAAAAATTCTGACTGAGAGTTTGCCGTTGTGGAGTCTTTTAGGAGTTTTGGTTCCCATTCCCCCAGGTGACCCAGAGGTCACACTGCATCCCATCCTCTGCTTCCTACCCAGTGCAATGTGTCTTTAACACTGCATCACCAGGCAGAGCTTGGGAGATACAAATTGTCTGTGAGCCTGAACTAAACATACGAATGGGACATACATTCAACACAAACATGTTGACATACATGTCAACACAAACGACAACTCTCTCCAGCTCCACAAGGAGCCTAATGGATTTTTTTGACAAAACATGTCAGGTCACAGGTGAAGCTCTGAGTGGAAAGTTGAACCTTTCCCTCATGTAAAGCCCAATCTTTCAAAAACAATAAAGTCCCAGACAACCTTAGGTTTTGCACTGAAAAACAAAACTTGTTCAGAGATTCCTCCTTTGTAACTTTTCTTTTGTTCAGTGCAGCCACGCTGCCAGCAGTGTGAAGCAGAAGCCTACCTGCACATGCGATTATTTTGTTTTCCTCCAGATGCATAGGTACAGATTCTGATCGCTTTAAAGTGATGCCAAAGACAGTAATCTCTGATGGCACTAAGAGTCAGGACTGATAACAGGCAAGTTTAAGCACTACTCGTGTGATAATTACATAGTTGTCAAAAATATATAAGTTGGCAGCACGCAGAAAATACAAAGTTTGGAATACTTTGGGAAAGCAAAGACGACCTTCTGCCATAGTCCTTCATGCAGTTGAGCTCTGTGTAGTTCTCTAGGGAGCTGTCTTACCAGGCACCAAACAAGCACTTTTCAGAAAGCAGTTATTCCCAAGCCTCTTGTCTCCACAAGTGATTGACACAATCTGCAATCATGCAAGTTAACTGGGAGGTTTTTCCCACCATCCACCATAGCATGAACAGAAACCCCTTCACTGCATACACCAAAGTACATCCAGAAGTTGTGACGAAGATGTCTGCTACAGTTTCATGGCTAATCCCATCTCAGGTCTTGATCCAGCAAGGCACCAGCACTTGTGCTGGCCTTTAAGCTTGTGAGAATCAAAGGGAACCCTGAAAAGTTCTTTCACTGGATAAGATCACTGAGATCAAGAGGCAAGACCCCTTCCTTTCCTCACAGAGTCTGGCCTCTCGCATGGGTATGATAAACGACACACAGAAGTTGAATATTCACCACCGAAAACACTCAGTAGGTTTAACAGTTGCCATGAAGCGCTGCTGGGCATTTTATCAATGATCTCTGTCTTAAAAAACACATCCTCATGCCTTTTGAATTGTTCTTTTTCCTGCTGACCCATGAAAGAGAGAAGAAAGATCTCATGTTTAAAATTCAGTCACTTCGCTGGTGTGTACAGACAGCGCCTAAGATCTCAAATGCATGAGATTAACTGGCCTGCTACCACTCAGAGGCCCATACCGACCATTCAAATGGATTTTCAAAGGAAGACTCTAGCCGATGGTCAGAAATCCTTACTGGCTGCAGAATTCAAACTGAGAGGAGTTATAGAAAGGGAGCAAACACTCACCATGAGGTTGCAATTCCACAGGGATATCATGGACACATAAATAATCACTAATGGTTCACCACCATGGAATTTCTTGGTATTTCATTGTCACATATGTATTTATTGTAGTATCGGGCCAAAACATGGTTGCCTGAACTCCCCTGTTTATACACCAAGGAAAAAGAATACTGCTACCCTTTTTCCTGTGTTATTAAAATTACCTGTGTCCTAGAGCACAAGACATAGAAGTCACACTATCTAACAGTCACCTAATAAACTTGTTGAAAATGATCAGAGTGGAGCATGCAGAGGGAATCTAACATTTGTCCCGATTTACTCACACACCTTGTTAGCTGCCTGAAGAGAACTCTCTTTTCGCCCCCTCCTTGTAATTAATCAACATAACTATTTGTAGTGTTCACTTACAAATAAATGCATGAAAGTAAAAGAATGTACTTGATAATCTTATCTAAATGCTCCAGCCAAACTAGAGCATTTTTAATGACATAACAGGAATTAAAATATAAATTTAAAATATAAATTTTCTTCCTTGCTCTTCCCTGCATGTACCATTTTGCTATATGCTTACAAAGTTATGAGAAACTGCAAAATTGTAACAGTAGGACTACAATATCCAGAGCTGGATATTCTGAACGTCTTAAAATAGTCTCCAAGCAAATAACCCTGAGAAAATGGGAGAGGGAAATCCATACTCACCTGAACGTGATCTGTCCAATTCTCCTGAGTCATGGTTTTCTGAAAGACAAAATTACTTCTGAGCCATCTTAGAAAAAGGGAGAATGCTACATAGAGCAAGCTGAAATTTAACACACCATCTTACACACTGGCGTCAACTGTGATTGAGGAATGCATTCTGGAGCACACGGGAAACCTCTGCTTCTCATATGTCACCAGCCGGGGCATGGCAGAAAAACACAGCTTAGATGAAGTAATTCAGACAACTGTTACACTACAGCACATAAGACAAAAAAATTCATATGCAATCAAAGTACACAGGCAATGGCAGGCTCTTACCCAGCAGTAGCCTGAACTCTCGTTATTACCCGGAGCTGGGTCCTGGGCTCATTTGCAGAAAACTAATCACCGTAACAACAGTCTGCAAAGTATTGTTATGCAGCATTTCTGAATGCCTCAAAGCTCACATGGTGCTCTTGCAAGGACAGAGACATCGCTGAGCAAAGCTGAAACAGGCCATGGTCTGGTGGAATGTATGGATCATTGCTGTTGCCTTTACCTCAGATTTGCAATATGTCCATAGACTGTTCACCTCAACAGCTAGCCCAGCGGAGAGCCATCCCCATAGGCTCTGGTAAAGGAAGGGATCTCAGGGATCATCTGCAAGGCTAAGCCTTCAGAATATAAAAATACAAACTTTTCTCAACAGCCAAGTCATGAAAAATCCTCTGGAATCACGAGGTCTGGGCGAGGAAACTGCTAAGTTAATATCCCCGTTCCAATGTAGTTCAGAGCCAGCCTTGGGGAGAAACTCGGGATGGGACCTACTCTCCACTCTGCCAAGAACACAGGCTGCATGAGATGGACCAGCCACCGAGGCCTGAGCCTCACCCCCACTTCTGGCAGAAGTAACAATGATTACTAGTGCCACTTTTATGGAAAGGTACAAGAGCAAACAGGGAGTAAGAGCCTCAAAGAAAACATCTTTGAGATATACAAGCATGTAATTTAAATACTAGTGAGATAAAGGAGCCATTTAACCAGACCTCATACACAGCTGAGAATGGTAAACAGAGAACACCAAAGAGCTCTCAGAAGAAGGGACTGTGTCCAGAAACAGCTGCCAAATGTACCTTAATGGAAGTAACTGGCCAGCTTGGATATTTTAAATCAAGCAAATACTCCAAAACAAAGGAAGTTGAAGGCCAGAGAGAGCAGACAGATCAAGAATCCATTCCACTGTGCTAAATAAATACACTTGGATAAATGCTTTCTCCTCTCTCACTGCAGATGACCAAGCTCTGTAGAATGATGTCATCCAACATTAAAGCTTTGAGATGCAGGACGTTGAAATGCTCGACCCTCCCCAGGTCTTCCGTCAGTGGATCTGGCAGGCAGCAAAGACAGATCAGAGCCTTCGCTGATGGATCAGGAGGTCTTGGAAGCAGAACTGGCTGTGCCAGAACTGTGTTGTCAGATGACCACCACTCAACCCCATCTTCGTGTTCAAAGTACTGGGGGGTGGGGAGGATCAGAAAAAACGCATGCATCTGCCTTCTTCTGTCAGAACATCAAACGTATCCTCTTTTGAACAAAAGAACAGGCACTTCTGGAGGAGGTGGCTCATTTCCTGAAAACTGGCTCTCTGAAGACTGGCTCAATAGTACCGTAGGAACATCTGAAGAACCTGTTGGGCTCTGTTAAAACTCTGTTAAAAAAGCCTCTTGTATCGACAAGGAGAAAGTCTTCTATGAACTACAGATGAAACACCACTCCATGTTTGGCAAATACAGCTTGATAATTCAAAATTCAAGAAATGGAAACATTTCGCTATCATATTCAGTCTCTTGTGGTCCTTGTCCTTCACAGTCCAATTGATACACCTGGATACAACAAGTGTAAGCTGTTTTTTCCAGAAGAGACAGAACAAAAACCTACTCTCAGCTGGTACAATCTCCAGCAAAGTCTCCAGGCACAGGATAATGATGATAATGCTTCAAGAGAAGCACCAAAACTGCCCGGTTAACAAGAGGAGAAACGTGCTCCCCAACGCAGTGTGCTCAAGAGCATCCAAAGGGCAATGACTTGGCTCAGTACACTCATGAGAGGGGAGGAGAAACCATAGTCAAGTAAATCTGCAGACAGTCAACCTCCAAGCTGCCTCCTAGAAACCTGCTCCGTAGAAAGAATTAATGGCATCTTCTTATTTCTACAAGCCCTCAGTGCCAGGTCAAGTACCAGCGTATTTGGAAAGAGAATTTGGAGGCTGGACAAAAGTAATGTTAGTTCAAAGAGTGGTTCAGGAGCTGAAAGTACTACCATTTTGCTCAGCAGTAACAAGGCTGTTAGCACAAAAATGCTTCTGTGGCAGGTTTGGGCCATACCTACCACAGTCAGGCCACAAGTACAAAAGCAAAGTGCCTACAAAGAACCCACCAACGTGGAATGCCTAAAACGTAGTGTTCTTAAAAAAAACCCAACACACAAACCCCTCAAAAAACAAAAACACAAAAAAACTCTTTAGCCAGTATGCTCCTGCTTATTTGGGATGGCTGAGAGAAACTGAATGTATGGAGAGCACACCCTGACCTACCTACATGTGTCTCAGAACACTGCTGAGGTTGCTGAGGTGAACAAGCATCCAGGTCTGAGCAATCATGACTCCCAGTCATTAGAATATGAATGGACACACAAACTATTCACTCACAGAAAAAACAGGTCCAATGGCAGATCCAATGCATTTCTATACAATAATCATCACAATGAAAACTTGCTCATATACTATCAATACATTTCAATCATATCAATTATGTTATTCAAAATGCAAAATAAACAAAGCCTCATTCACACCCATGCCACACAATACAGAAACGTACCTCAACAAATCTCTTGTAAAAGAGGTAATGCAGAGTTCTCAAGTGCCGCTGATTTATGACATTAGGGCAGAGAGCTAAAAGAAGGAAAAAGACATTTAAGTATACAACATAGCTGAACTTCCTTGAAGTGTTACTGTCTAGACATTACATTTTTCCTTCCCCAATTTCAAACTCGGTATGTGGAAGGCAGGGTGCCATCACACTTGGAACAATGACGGACAGACACACACATTGTCAGCTTATCTAAACCATAAACTCTTATTTACACTTTCAGCCATGATTAGCAATGCTAATCCTCGGTTCTGATATCTCTGGTTCTACCACCCTTGAATGATATGATCCACTTGCTGGTTCAATATGCTTCACAGCCAATGACTTCACACCTTTAATTAGGTAGCATCCTCATACATGCACCACCTCCAGTCTCTAGAGGCTGCATTCTTTTTGATTTAATTGGAACCTGTGCTGTTAATTCATTGAAGCAGTTTTGAACATGTTGCTCAGGATGTAAACTTGTGGCTAAAGTTTAACCGATAAAATATATATCCATGAAAGAGACTCCATATCCATACAAAGAGGGAGGTGACTATTGTTTTGCTGAGCTAGCAAGCAACAGTTGTTGTTATTATTTTTATTACTGTCATCTTCATTAGATATGCCTCATTACAACTGCAAAAAACAAGATCTTCTCATAGCACCTTGTTGTGAAATCCAGTGCAAAGAGAGATAAACGCAGACGATAAAATACATTAACTAGGATTAGCATACGTATCTGTCAGTTCTTGCCAGATGCTTGTATGCATGTACAAGGAAAGATTTAACCAAAGCCTTCATTGGGGTTTCAGTGGCTAAAACCACCTCACTGGTAGTCGGAAGGAGCAGGACCAGCAATCAGAAATGGTAACAGAAAACAGTAAAGTGAAAATTCTCTGCAGCCTCCCTTGAATCAGCGTACACCGGGAGAAACTAGTGTTACCCACTCAAAGGGCCTCGGAGCTTAGCATTCTCCATGCCCCACGCATGGCATGCCCAAGGATTAAAAACTGCGAGAATGAAGAAAGATCTCTGAATACCAGGTGCTGGAATCAGAGGGATATGAATTGATGTACCACTGGATACTGCAGCTTCTCAAAGTCTCTTGAAGCATCACTTCATAACTTGAACATTTCCATCTCAAAAAGAAATGTTTAAAGCTGTTATTTTTAAGTTAATCTTCCGCAGTGTGACAAGATATCTTTGCCCTCAAAGGATCTAAAGAAATTATTGCAATTATCCCGCAGGATATTATCGCAATAAATATGGTGATCTTTCCAATGGATATTATCCCAATATCTGGAGGAAAGATCCTCAACTCATGGAAAGCAACACTCTTCAAGAAGGTAAGATCAACATAAAAATTAGTAATATCACCACCTAACTTAAAGATTTCAAAGCACTTCAGAAAGAAACACGGCATGACTGCTCTAGGTCACCAAAAAGATCCATTGAACGTATTTTTCTTTGAGCTTTTAGAGGAAATATCCAAAGCACAGGACTTGGCAGAACTGAGGGATTTTAAGTGCCCAGCTATCTGTGCTGAAAGTAGGACAGAGGAACACAGATGGACTGGAACATTTTTGAAGGCACTAGTGACATTCTGTATTCTGATGGAGCAAAGGAACTGAGTTTGAAACCAGTTTTCTATATTTTATTAT